CAATGCTGGCTCCAGAGGGAAAGCTCAAGGGAAGCAGACACTGCTGCTCCATCTCCTTGTACTTGTTACTGCTTGCATATTCAGAAAGGGTGAGTGAACAGGAACAGTGTTAGAAACAGAGATATGAAATCTAGGACCTACATGGCACCTTAAACCTAGGTTATGGGCACAACAACAGAATGTCTAGGCACACTTTTTTATATATAACAAGAATACAAAGCTGAAAAGGAATGGACTGCAGCTAAAACATTATGTTCGTTTTTCACATGGTCTAGTCCTTCCCCTGCCCACCCCCCTAATATTCTTAAGAGGGTCTCTTCTCCAGTCTTCCAAGTGTGGCTGGAAGTGGGGGAGGCAGAAAAAGATCCTCCTTTCATTCCACTCTGCAGTTTTAATCTGAAAGCTTAGGCGCAGTACTGCGCCCAGAGCTCGCACTAATGAGATTCCCTGTTGCAAAATGTGCCTAGAACAATGGGAGTTTGTAACACTGAACAAGAAGCAGAAACATCCTCCAAATCACCTGGAAGACGGTGTCAGGACTTTAGCGCTCACTACCTGTAACTGAAGGTAAAATTCAATGTATTGTGGTACACAGGTTTTTTTGTTTGTTTTTTAAACTGCCTACCACCCACCCCCTGCTTTTATTAGATGTTATTTTGTTGCTGCTGCTGTTAGTTTTGTTTGGGCAATTAAAAATATTATTATTAAAAATAGAGCGAGAGAGAAAGTGCACTACTGGTTAGTTCAGTTGGTTAGAGCATGGTGCTAATAATGCCAAGGTTGCATATTTGATTCCCATATGGTCCACCTGCATATTGCTGCATTGCAGGAGGCTGGATCAGAAGACCCTCAAGATCCCTTCCAACTCTATGAATTCCCTTCCAAGATCCCTTCCAACTCTATGATTCTATGAATAGGCAGGGACAACAAGGAGGTGTTGCAGCAGGACCAGAAGGCTCTGGAGATTGACAGCAGGGCCCCTGCAGGTTGTAGCCTTTGGCAAGTGCCCAAAGAAGCCTTCCCAGGAACAATGCTTTTGATTTCAGGGGCAGTTTCACATTCAGATTGCATACTTTAATTCATTCAATGTTTTTTAAGGCTCTTCTGGAGCTGAGGCTACACTGTGTGGCTTAGAAACCTTGGCATCAGATTCCGCTAATAGATTCTTGTCTGGAAAACACTGCAGTTGTTGAAAAGAATCCAGATATTTGTAACAGCTAGCATAGGCCTATTTCAACAGGATTTATGACTCCTCTAAACTTGTTGAGTGCCCTAATCAACACACATTATCTGAAATACAAAAATCAGAACACTTCAAGGTGTGAATGGAAAAGTATGGTGTACTTAATGAGCATACAAGAAATGCTGATTATGGAGCAGCTGCAAAGTGCCAATTATTTGGCAGCTCTTGCTATACAAGCAATGTTGACCTTTCCATCTTTGCTCTTGGTAAATTTTGTTTAGTATAATTTGCGACACAGCATCCGAATTTGTACAGTAGGGCAGGAAGGAAGGAAGGAAGGAAGGAAGGAAGGAAGGAAGGAAGGAAGGAAGACCTATGACACTCAGGGTGAGAACCTGAGAGAGGGAAAGTTTGCTTTGGTGGTAACAGAAGGAGGAGTGTTGTAGCAGTATTACTGTCTTCCACAGGACAGCATGGGATGTACCTCTTTTAGGTAAAGGGACCCCTGACCATTAGGTCCAGTCGTGACCAACTCTGGGGTTGTGGCGCTCATCTCGCTTTATTGGCCGAGGGAGCCGGCGTACAGCTTCCGGATCATGTGGCCAGCCTGACTAAGCCGCTTCTGGCGAACCAGAGCAGCACACGGAAACGCCGTTTACCTTCCCGCCGGAGCGGTACCTATTTATCTACTTGCACTTTGACGTGCTTTCAAACTGCTAGGTTGGCAGGAGCAGGGACCGAGCAACGGGAGCTCAGCCCGTTGCAGGGATTCAAACCGCTGACCTTCTGACTGGCAAGCCCTAGGCTCTGTGATTTAACCCACAGCGCCACCCGCGTCCCTGCACCTCTTCTATTGGGCCTTAATTTATTATCTTGTGGCCCAGCTGCACACAGTGATTTCAGATGATTCTGCTAGGATATGTCTGGATGGGCAAGTAGATACGAAGATGCTGCCCCAATTTCAAAAGGCACAGAACTGACACTGACAGCCTAAGAAAACTGAAAGCAGAAATATGTTCATTCATAATTCCATGCAACAATTATGCGAAAGAATACAATGAACATAAAATTTTATTTAGTAAACCTATACCCCACTGCAGGTTTTTCTTTAATTGATATACAAGTGAGGTTAAATGGTTGGATGCAAACCCTTGTTGCAGTGCTTGTTCTCATAGGTTTTCATCTGAAATTCGAACCAATTTCTTCTAGATTTTAGAGAGCCTCAACAGTGGAGTAGATATAGAGCCCCTCAACAAGAAACACTTGTACATGATTCTGGACCTATGCAAGAATGAATTATCCTATCATTCTCTTCTGAAAAAAACTATTTTCAAATCCCACTCCTCTGAAGAGTGCAGCAGCAAATTACAGAAGCGTCATTTAAAAGAGGAATAACTACATTACAGTGATGTGGGGAAATGACCCAAAGACTCAGTCAATGGGCTTTTCTACATCTCATCGGAGCTGGAAAGTAGGCAGTAATAATCAGCCTGGTAATTACCTAGAATGAGGAATGGGAATACCCAGATGACAACGATATGATCATATTTTTACAGCTGAAGAGAACAATGGAAACATTATTTCGGGGCAGTCAGATGAGAGTGACAGTGACTAACAATGTTGCAAATGTTTTTGCTTCAAACAATGAGCACAATTCAGCCAAGGATTTTTTAAGTATTAACTTTGCAGAAGTGATTAACTTTGGCAGGGTTATGCCCAACATTTTTTCCAGTGCCTAAAAAAAAATGTATATTACTAAAACTGATTAGGCCCGACAGGGCAAGAACCAGCACCTGGCATCCTTGGGCAGCTGTCAGGGACCACGTGTCCCAGCAGGGCCCACAGCTGAGGTCTGCCCTGGGCCCCCATTAAAAAAAGCCTGAGCAGAATTGGACAGCTGGGTCTAGCTACCATATTCCCACAATGCCCTTGATGCAGCACCACTCCACAATATTATGGGAAATTAAATTGCAGCTAGACTCAGTCACTTGCTGGTTCTTATACTTGGAGCTTAGAGTGTTTGGTGGTTACAAACAAGGAGAGAATCCAAAAATTGAGGAGGGGGTATCGCCAGAGATCACTTTGTCCAGGACTCTCTCAAACTTTGGCCTGGCCCTTCCCCAAGCAGGCAAGAATGTCCCTTAAGCTTGAAGAGAGCTCTGTCATATTCCCCGGTGGGCACAAAAGATGCCCACCCTGGCACTCCTCCTATATTATCAGACAGCTCTTCCTCTCTACGCAGGCAAATCAGGCAAACTGTGGAGCTCATGGAGCTTGCCTGGGTAGAGTAGAAGCGACGGATGGGGAATATGAAGATATGCACACAGTCCTCTCATTCTCTCACATCCAGCTGTACTGCTGGGTGCACACACCACCACACTGAAGAGGGGAGCACAGTTTTGTCAAGTTCTATAGGGATATCTCCATGCGCAGGAAAAATCATAATAATATGCAACAACTAACACACACAAAAAAGGGACAGCTAAGAGGTGCTTTGGACGCGGGTGGCACTGTGGGTTAAACCACAGAGCCTAGGGCTTGCCGATCAGAAGGTCGGTGGTTCGAATCCCCGTGACGGGCTGAGCTCCCGTTGCTCGGTCCCTGCTCCTGCCAACCTAGCAGTTCGAAAGCATGTCAAAGTGCAAGTAGATAAATAGGTACTGCTCCAGCGGGAAGGTAAACGGCGTTTCCGTGCATTGTTCTGGTTCGCCAGAAGCGGCTTAGTCATGCTGGCCACATTACCTGGAAGCTGTACGCCGACTCCCTCGGCCATTAAAGCAAGATGAGCACCGCAACCCCAGAGTCGGCCACGACTGGACCTAATGGTCAGGGGTCCCTTTACCTTTACCTTTAAGAGGTGCTTTAGTAGGATTCTATAGCATTTGTTCTCATCACACTATTGGTTATTTCCATCATATAAATCAGTCCTTGCTCTCCCACTATTAGAACCAGAATATTCACTAACAGGGAAGCATCTTCAGGCCAAGAGGGCAATGAGAAGCATCTTAAACTGCTTACACATTTTACCTATTAGACCAAGATATTTTAATAAAGTGAATATGCTAGATTGGTTCTTATGGAAATCATGCTCCTTTGCATATTTAGTGATGACAGACATACATATCAATTACATGAATTCATATAAATATGGATGATTTTAAGCCATATTGCTGCTAATAGTGTAAACTTGTGCCCTGTAACTTGGATTACCCCAATTGCCACTATTTAACATTAGGATATAACAGTGAGTCAGTTTAACATTTTATTCCCAAAGAAGTCATCCCGCCTCCAGGACAAGGATTCTCCGATGACACCAGTAATTGTAGACCCTATCTGAAAATGAACTGAGATCTCACCCATCACTATGGTGGGTAGGAAAGGCCTAACAATAACAATCCATCATGGGAGATATTTCTTAATTATTGCTTAATGGAGCATTAATTAGGTGGGCAGAACATGTACTGAGTCTGAAGAGAGCGTGGGTGTGAGTCAGTCCTCTGGGGAAAGATAGCTGCTTCCTAAAAGGTGAATCATAAGTCTACCATCATAAGAATCTCAGGATTTCAATTTATAAATTACCAGGACTTCAAAAATTATCCCAAAAGATTTAACCATCAGACAAAATGTGACATGGTGCATGGAAATACTCCTCCTATGTGCATATGGATCTCAGCAAATACAAACTAAATAGCAACAGTGCAAGATTCCCCACACTGCCTTCAATGCAAGTTAAGAATGTGCAAATATATTCTGGGATGCAGCCAAATTTCCAGATCTATAAAAGGTATTTAAAAAGCAGTAGCAGAAGAATGTTTACCTGTATAGTCCTCTGAACACTATTTACATTGACAGACAGCAGGGCTGAAGCCAAGTTCCACTCCCCAGTCACACTAAGTTTTATCCCGTCGACGTCCACCTGTTGTGACACCAAAGAAAACTGTTACGATAAAGCCAGACAAGAAACAGATCTCAAGTTCATTACTGCATACAAAGGAGCAACCATATTAAAACAGATGGCTCCCAAGCAACCTGTCATGTTTACTGCTCCTGCCACAAAAGACAAGGTCTAACAACAGAGTCTTCTTGGCATCTCTGGGGAAGAGGTGAAGGACCTGTGAACAGCTGCCTGTGGAGGGCTGTAAGTAATTTTCACAAAGTAGCAAACGCCCATCCAACTTTTAAACCGTATCTGGACATGCTACATTTACAGTAATTAGACAAGCAACGCGTATGAATTCTACTGACACTTGGCAACCCACATGAGAGGCCTTGCATATAATATGCTCTCCAAGGACCAAACAAGAACTTTTTTCCTACAGTTTAATGAAGGCCTTTCACATGGTTTTCTTAAAATAAGCCAGTACATATCTCAACGTCCATTCAAACTTTTATATTTCTGTTGTGTTCCTCCTTTAGTAACTACTTACCTGCAGAACCATATATGTTCCTATGAAAAGACTCACAAAGCTATTTCTTTAATAACATGTAAAGAAATAACTTTTATATAGAAAGCAAACTCCCTGCAAAAAAACTGGAAGACTGTCAGTGCCCCATTCTCTTCTCACCCACCCAAGAAACTCATATTTTTAACTATTGGAAATACAAGAAATATAGTATCACAGAATTAAAATATCACAGCAATTTAAATTATGATTTGTGTTTGGAAAAGCTGTTATTTTATACAGCACAGAGTAGAAGTGTTAAACTTCAGCAATATTTCCTTTCACTATAAATTCAAAGAAAATGGAAAATCCATTTAGCTTTCTAAGATTCAACTCAAAAAGACTCTTTTTTTAAAAAAAAAACCAGGATCCATCCACTTCCTCCCCCAGCCTGTATGATCTGGAAATATTTATTTTTAAAAATTCAGATTAAGAAAAGCACTTACTGGACAAAACTAACGAAATAAAAATTTGCAAACTTCAATGCTGCAGCTCCATAAGCAGTTCAGGGCAGGCAAATGGGTGCCAACTGGGAACTATCATTCATGAAGAAAGATAGCACCTCAATTTATCATTAAATTCATTGTAAGATATAGTATGGGGTATTACTTAAGGCAGAAATACTTTCAATACCTTTCCCTTGTATACCAACTTTTCCAGCTATGGAAATTTAGTAGGCATAGCACCTATCCTTAAATTCTGAATGATAAAAATGAAATCAGAGTAGTTCATCTCCTCCTAATGATAGGGGGATCCTCCCTAAAAGTTAAGCACCTCCCATCTCTTATCACATATTTGAAAAATGCTATGCTAGGCCTGATCCGCTTTCTACAATCTCCTCCAAATGTGAAATAATCATTAAAAATGGGGGGTGGGGAGTCAACAATGATAAACCCAGATTAAGCACTTTGGACCATTTACTTAATGTTACCAATAAAGCCTCAATAACTGGGTCCAAAGCTTTAGATCTTATCAAATACTTCTTAGTGGACCATCAATAGCCTACTAGAATGTATTCTGCTCATCCACAGTGTTTCATCTTTTTTTTATTCATCCAACGAACAATGGTGGTTGTTTTTTGTATAGGCTGCATCATAATCAGATAGATAGATATGATTCATAAAACCTAAGAGCTCACCTGAATACGCCAAAACCTCTCCCTTTCTTGCAGGCCTATGCGGGACAAAGGGGCAGCCAGGTACACTTGCCCCAGGTCCCGGAGGGCTAAGTTGGTGAGGCGGCCCCACCAGGGACAGACTGGTTTTTTTATTTTATTTTTCCATATATAACTTTATTCTAACAAGACTCCCACCCTGGACCTCATACAAGATCTGCATGGGACAGCTTCTTTCTCAGTGTTCCTGATTTTGTTGGCATAGATGCACTGAGTTTGCTACTTGAGAGTGTGATCTTAAATACTAAATATAAATACTAAGACACCTGGATGGCTTTAAGAGAGTATCAGACAAATTCTTGGAGGAATAGGCTATCAACGGCCACTAGCCACAATGGCTATGTTCTACCTCCACGGTTAGAGGCATCATGCCTCTGAATACCAGTTGTATGTGGTTGTCCTCATGTCCTGCCTTCCCACAGGCATGGATGGCCATAGGATGCTGGACTACTAAGCCACTGACCTGCTTCTGCAGGCTCTTCTTATGAAATTTATTTGAAGCAGTAATTGAATTAGGCATTACAGCTGTGAAGCAGCGAATCTCAGGGTAATATCATAAAACCAAAATCTTCCTTTTAAGAGTCTGGAAACAAAGCCTTATGAGGAATAGTTGAAGGAGCTGGGTATGTTTAGCCTGGAAAAGAGGAGACTGAGAGGAGATATGATAGCCATCTTCAAATGTCTCAAAGGCTGTCACAAGGAAGATGGAACAAGCCTGTTTTCTCCTGCTCTGGAGCGTAGGACACAAACCAATGACTTTAAGTAACAAGAAGGTTCCGACTAAACATCAGGAAAACTTTCTGACAGCTGTTCGACAGTGGAAGAGACTCCCTCAGTAAGTAGTGGCCTCTCCTTCCTTGGAGGTTTCTAAGCAGAGGTTGTATGGCCATCTGTCGTACATTCCTTCATTGCAGGGGATTGGTCTAGATGACCCTCAAGGTCTCTTCCAACTCTACAATTCTATGATTCTAAAATGGCCCACGGTCCAGCCAGGTGACCCAATCCAGTTCCAGTTCTATGTATGTATGTATGTATGTATGTATGTATGCATGCTTGCATGCATCCGGAGTGTCCTTCTCAATGTAACGTTGACTACAGTACGTCTGACATCAATTTGCATTACTGGAGAAGTATAAATGGTGCATTAGAAGTTAGGAAAGAGAAAAAGTCTGAAGCAGTAACATGCTGGGTTACACTAGAATAGAATGGCAAAGGCAATAAAAGGGAAGAAAGGACTGCAAGTTGAGCCTGCCAAGCTGGAAATGATAAAAGTTTATATGAAGGGAATATTGATATAAAACCTAGCTACAATGGCAAAATGCATTATTTGCTTTCATTTGTTGACAGAAAAATGGTACCACTTTCACGAAAAAAGGTCATGCTTTTCTCTCTTGCAGATGATAAATGTAAGGTCAGTTTTAAATAGCTTGAAAGCGATTATTGGTACAACCTCAAAAGGAAGTTCAAGTACCTGGGGTTTCAATCTCATTAAAAGATCATTCTTTTTCTCTCTTTTTTTTGAAAACTTTCCTTTTGTTCATATTTGCACTTACTTCTAAAAAAAGACCCCAAGAGTGAGACCCAGTCCATGAATTACATATCCTGAGGAAAGCTCAGTTACCTATTTATAGATCTTGCCCTTTTCTACCAAACTAGATCAAGTGCTTTATTCAGTACATGACTGTAGGAGAGAAACTCATTTGCTCCAAGTGTCATCAAGGCAGCCTTTTACCTGCCATGAATGAAACCAGAAGATGTTTTGAATTGCTAGACTTCTGCTTCAAATGCCTTTTTTTCATATACATAACACTATACGCCATACCAGCATCGCTTTCAGTTTTTTGAAAGCTTTTTGCAAGTACAGAATAGGCAGCCAATAACTATGATAGTATACATAAAGCAGACGTTCACATTGTCATCACTGCAGTTTCTTTACGTGACAGGGATGCATGCAAATATCTGCAGTGGTTCTGCACAACTCAAATATTTCCTAACGTTAGAAAGGGGAAATAATATAGTCTGTTCAGCAGAACTGAAATCAAAACATGAATATTTCACCTTCAAACATTCAAAGTGCACCTGAAAGTCAAAAAATGTAGATGGTTTTGTTCATCCATTCAAAGAAGAAGTAGTCAGCTTGCTTACTTTGTGATGTTTTTGTTGGTCCATATAAAGGTAATACCTATTGTTACTTTTGGATTCAGCTGGATAGTCTCTTATTTAGCTGAAACTAAATTGTAGCTGTTCTTTGGACTATAGTCAGCTGCAAATGTATTAGAGATTTAGAACAGCACATCAATGCCAACAAAACTACTTTGTTTGACAATTAAGTTGGCCATCTTGATTTTAAGACAAGTGATACAATTCTTCCCGTGCTCTTCTTGCTGACTGTTTAAAATGTTCATGTTATGGGGTGGTGTTTCTATCTGCCATTTAAGGCACCATTGCTCACATGGACCCAGGGCCTGTTGCACCTCAGCTTCTGAGGATGAGCTCTCCTGCTGCACAGATGATCCCCTGGCCATCTTGTCTGAGAGTCCCAAGAATTCCCAGATCTAGTTGGGTCCTGGACTCTGCTAAGTAGTGGGGGCTTAGCCATCTACTGATAAGGAATCCTCTGGCTGAGCCATGACAATTACCCTCTCTCCCTGCAGGCCCAATGTCCTCCTTTCTGAATATTGGGAGCCTTCTGAAACACTGTGGGAGGTGGTGCGGGGGACTGCAGGGGGGAGTGGAAATTGGCAAATGTTACCTCTCCCCCTTCTGCTGGCAGGAGTGTCCCATCATCTCCATGGAACTCTGCTCTGGGAATTCTCCCACCAACACGAGGGAAGTCTGGATCCAAACTGATGCATGCTATTCTGCAGGGTTTATTAAGGGTGTCAAAGTTCATGATGACTATTGTCTTGTTAGTGAAAGAATTTTGAATATTTTTGGCTGACTATTTTTTAAGGTCTTTAAACAGGTGCCAACAGCAATTTCATAGTAAGCAATGTCATCACAGGGATATCATCAACGTGGTCCCAATTAGGAAATTGTATTTGCTTAATGGGAAAGGAAGTAGGTAATCCTACTCTGGTGCCAAACACTTCCAGGGTGTACACACCTTTTCCTCTGCATTTACGTAAGTAGGAAAACTCAATGTTCCAAAGAGCTTATGAAAATATTTCCACATTAGCGCTTTATCTGCTACTAATATAATTAAATCTATTGAAGGTTAAACACATCAAAGTACCTAGCATGAATCAATGTGGGGGGAAATATTTTATAAAAACTATTCATTGCTGACTGGTTTTATCT